TTCTGGAAAGGCTTCTGGAACCATGCCGGAAGGGGAGGGTGTCAGGGAGTAACCAAAAGAGTTAACCTGGTAGAGAAGGCATCGCAGCTTCGAGGGGCATCTCAGAGAGAAAGAACTGTGGGGGGAGATCAGATGTGCAGGCATTCACCCCCACTGAGGGCAATCAGTTGCCAGACTGCTGTCCATCCCACCACAAGAGTGGGCCTGCTCCCTGCCTCTGGGGACAATGGACAGGCTCCTGTAGGAGGAGTTTTCACCCTACTGATAATGGTTCCTATGGAGACCCAGAGACCACCCCTAGACCACCTTCTCATTGCTGTGTAACCTATAGTGCAGCCCCTCCCATAACATATGTCTCTACCTGTAATTAGTGGGCTGGCATGCCCCCAAAAGGTATATAGACGTGGGTCAGCAATATAGAGCTCCCTGACTCTGATCTCTCCTTGCTGCTCACTCCCTCGTCACTCCCCTCTCTTCCCCCTCTCCTCTCCAGTCCTCTCTCCCTTGTTCCCTTCCCCTCCTTCCCTTCCCCCTCTCTCCCCGTGGACCACCACGCTGGGCTGAGGTGAGCAATGCTACCATGTAATGTGTCTGACTGTATTATTGCAATATCTCTCATGCTCTCGATGACTTTAGTATGATACTTATATAACTCAACCGTACAATTGTGCATTACTGAACCCGTGGGTAGTATTATTAGTAGCAGTGGGTGGGAGCTGGCCCCTCACCTCCCCTTCGCTATTTTAATTTAATACTACAAAGAACCACATGTAAACAATAGGAAGGCGGGAGAAGTGTTTGCAGACTGTCTGGAGCTTCCTCTGGTTCAAGGTCCATAAAGAAGAGGGGACAGAATGGCCGGAGAAAAGGATGAAGCGAGAAGCAGGCAGGTGACCAAGACGGTTCTCCAACGAGCCACTAAATGTCTCCACTTCAATCTTGGGGTAAGACGGAACACGGAAGAATTTTAGGAATGAAATAACAAGATCCGAATTGAAACCCATCATAAACGAACCTAAAATACAGCCCTTTCCCCTCCTCTGAAAGTGTGGGACAATCAGGAGAAAAAACAAATACAAAGCTTGTCTCTGTGGGCACCTGTGGAGCCTAGGGGTGGCGGGGATTACCATTTTGGATCACCATGGTGGAAAATGGGACTTGACTTGGGTCTGGACGGGTGGATAGGGTTTGGAAAGGGGCTGGAAAACATATCAGGCAGAACAGGTGAGCAAAACGGAGAGGCAAGCCCGCTTGGCTCACGTGAAAAGCAGGAAGGGTCCGTGCTAGTCACGTGGGAGGCAGAGGAAGTTTCATCTAAATGGTTCACGTAGAGCTGACGACGTGGGGCTGGGCAGGGTGAGCTCAGATAAGATAGAGATGTGGCGATGTCCCGATGTGTACACTAGGGAGATAGAACATGTGCACACCCCCTCTGCTCACAGAAGGAAGGGAACCAGACAGGCTCAGCCCCAGCACAAAGTCACTGTGGGTGACTTGCTCCCACCAACCACTCACTTGGCTCCGGAATGGGTGCCGAGAGGATGATGCTGTACAGTTTCTTTGCCTCCTCCACATGCTCTGAGATCTTGTCAATGTTGAGCCGGGTTTCCTCAATCTGCAATCAGAAAGGGAATAACCTTCGTCGTTACAGAGGACAGGTATGCCCAAGCCTGAGATGAAAGCGAAGGGAGCTCTCTGGTGAGGGCCACCCACTTTCTTGATTTACAGAAGAACAGGAGAACGAACGTGTCTTGCACTGCCCAGGAAGCACCCTGCTCGTGGCCACGTAAGCTCTGATCTCAGCAGGGCAGACTCTATAAATCCATACGTGTTGCTCCCTGAGAGGGATAAATGTAGCACCCTTGAATGGGAGCCTCTGGGCCAAAAGCCAGGGAAATCCGGGAAGAATACTCCAGAGAAAGAGAGAGCCAGAGCAATGAGCCGCCTCCGGCCACAGCAGGAGCTTCTCTCAGGCAAACATTCTGGTGAAAGGCCTTTGACTCGCAGATTCCCTCTGAAAATCAGCACCCGGAGCCCAAGCCACAGACTAGCTCTGCGTATCCGAGGGTCTTGTGATAGAAGGTAGGTCTCATCCTCAGATGGACAGCACCCCCAGGTGCTGATGAAGGAGGACTAAGTCCAAAAAGAAGGAAGCCCACCTCCCTCTTCAAAGGCACCAGCAACCCGTGGCACATGGTCCCTGAAGATGCAGGAGCAGCCCATGGAGAAGAGATTCACCACTCAGGGTGCTTCCCCATTGTACATCCAGAATAAGCGGTATGCCAACCCTGGAACAATCGACAGACAAATCCAGTTCAATACTCCATACTGTCAAGTCACACACCCTGGACTCACGGGAACCCCACGGACAACAGAGCAAAACAGTGTCTGGTCCTGTGTTATCTCTAAGCTGCATGGGGGACCGGACTGCTGGGATCTGGAGAACCTTCTCTGGCTGATTTTGAGAAGCACATGACAAGCCTTTGCGCTCTGGTGAAACCTGCTCACTACCAGTAACAGCATGCAAGCCTCCGCTGACAGACAGGCGCTGGCTGGGCTTGAGGTGCGTTGGTCGGGAATTGAACCTGGGTCTCCTACCCAGGTTGGAAGTTGAGAATTCCACCCCTTCCCCAAACATCAGCAAGTAGGATCTTAACATCTGAGATCCAACAAAAACGTTCCTTGATATCTAGCTCCCAGCATCCCTTTCGTCCAATGAATAGTTCGCCTATTTTACACGCCTGATGGTAACTCTCCAAACTACAGAGAAAATCGGTGACAGAAAATGAGTTCATCTAGGCCCAAGCAGTATTTTCTGCCACTGGAGCAGCGGATCTCCCCAACCACAACTGTACTGATGTCCGTGTGCCAGCATTGGCCAGTCCGATCCCGTACTTAAAGACCAAGAATACAATATCAACTTATCAATATCATCAGAGTATAAACAAGCATAAAGGCATACCCCAAATATTCTGAATCATTTTAACAGGCTGCAAAACAACCTTCACGTATGTCATCTGTGAAGTTAGATGTTTTTGTCACGTTGAAGATATGAGAGTGTACGGGTGGAATCCACCTGTCAATCAAGTCACAGCCTGATGAGGCCTCCTGAGGAATGTGGCCTTCTAATAATAAGTAGAGGGGCGAGAGGGAAACTGGGAATCTCCTTCTCTCCCTTCTCTCCACAATCTTTCCATCTAAGCCCCTTTGTACTCTATTTCTGTGTTTTCTAACCAAAAGAACTCTTTACACAATGGGTGACCCAATCCAGAAGTTGCTGTTTTGTTTTGTTTAAAATCACCATGCTAATGCAGTCCCAATGCCTGCATCAAGGGGCAGCCACATGGGCCTGGCCGAGAGCTGTTGATGCTCTGCTATGTTCCCATTGACCTTGGATCCATGGGACTCTGCACCCACCAGCTTAGGAATAGGATCTAGCTTCCTGTTCACCTTTCTGCATTACCAACATGTAGCTCCTGGAGTCTGAAGAGGGATTATGAACTGGTATTAGACTTATGGACTTGAGTTGGATTGGGCTGGGATGCCTTCTTATATTTATTACTTGGATTTGTTTCTCTAGACGACCCAGCCTCACACAAATCCTAGCAGAAATCCAGGATGTGGTAAGCACCATCCATCAGAAGAGGTAACTGAAGGTTAACATGCGGTCTTGTGCCACATAGCTGGTGGACTCTCAAGTCTCCCAAGTGGAATGCTCTTTCCAATGAACCTGACACTTCACTTGTTCACTTCTCTGTAACTGTTTCACTTTCAGCAGACTCTTACACTTATCCAGGTTAGCATCTCTGAATGCTGGCTGTGTCTTGAGGCAACCAATCCAGAAACTGGCCATTGAATAGCCCAGAAATGGTCACCGTGTTCTTCTTCCCTTCCTCCTTATCTCTCACACCAAACACTGGTTCCTCTTACAACTCATAAAATGGCACTCATCACATCTTATTTCCATTTCCTTGCACTCTTACATAACATAAAGTAGGGGGGAGGGGAGGACTTTCTCTAGTAAAATGCACTATTTTTTGAGTCTACAAGGCCTTAGACCTTCGCATGTCTGATGTCTAGAAAATCGCTTCCAGAATAGTATCTCATGAACTGAAGAACATCATGGCCCCAAGTTTGGTCACTGGTCAAAAGACAGCAGGAGGAGGATGCTAGGATGAGACTGTGGGCATTTAGAGACCAGATCCCAAAACCTACTGTCATCAAGTGCATTCTACTCATAGCCTATGGAGGGTTTCCAAGGCTCTAACTCTTCATAGCAGTAGTCGTTGGAGAGTCTGAACTGCCGACCGCATAGATAGCAGTCCAACACTTTCTCAACAGCACCATCAAGGCCAGGGCCATGGAGAATTGGTGCTCCATCTTCATTCTGCTACAGGACTTTTTAAGCCCAGGAACTGCTGCTCTCACCCTTATCCGACCAATATAGCTGCTCTTTCTCCTCTGTCATCATCCTAACTATTTGGGGACCAACATTAATGAACTTCACAGAATTGTAAACACAGCTCACTAAACAATCACGGAACTATATCATCAGGGAACCCTTTTCCTCCTAAGGACTTCAAGATGGGCAACTGGTCAACCACAGAACTTTCCTCTTTGAACTCTGTGTCTTCGTTTTTCTTGGAAGTGCTGGTTTTCACCCAAGGGGACTTCCAGGTGTTTCATGGTGGCAGGTACATGCGATTTCCTTTTGCCTATTTGCCAGATAACTATAGAATCTTGGGTAGGGGGACCTAGTAAGGAAATCTACACATGTTGAACCAAAAAACGCAATGGCTGTAAGTGTGTCTGTCTAAGGTCTGTTGTGTGAAGTATACAGTACTGACATTATTCTACACAATATCTATTGAAGAACTGAAAAGGAATCAGATATGTGTGAGCTCTTTAAGGTCTTTCCCATCACCATCTCCTTAGACAAGAGAACCCTGAGGCTCAAAGTGGTAGAAGAACTCATCCAGGGCTAAGCTCCAGAGGCAGGCACAGCCAAAGCTGGAATCCAGGCAGCTGTTAGATGCCAGACCCCACCCTGAAACCAGGTAGAGGTCAAAGAACGGCCTGTGTCTTCTCTCCATGTTGCGGCACATTCATCCTGCATCAGGTTAACATGCACATCTGACTCTCTTTTTTTGTCTGATGTTGATCCAGTCCCTTTCACAGATACGATGCATGAGGCGGCATCAAAAAGTCCATGGGAGGAAAACTTTAAGTAGATAATAGAATTTTTCCACAATCTTTCCATCTAAGCTCCTTTGTACTCTATTTCTGTATTTTCTAACCAAAAGAGCTCTTTACACAATGGGTGACCCAATCCAAAAGTTGCTGTTTTGCTTTGTTTAAAATCACCATGCTAATGCAGTCCCAATGCCTGCTTGATGTACCTTATTTTTAATGGATTTTAAAATAGTTTGTCAGTAATGTGAGAGAATCCAGATAGTACAAGGTTTAAGATCACAAGTAGAGTCCAAAAGATTGGGTTCAAACTTTGGTTTCACTACTTAGTAGCTTTACAACTTTGAACAAGCACCTACCCTTTCAGTGCTGAAGGTCTCTCGCCTACAAAATGGGGGTTATCCTAATTCCCATTTCAGAGTTTCCTATGAGGATGAAATGAAATAATGCACACCAGATGCTCAACACAAAGTACGTGTTCAATAGGAGGCATACAATATAAACACAAAAATCATCGACAGTGAGGCCCATTTATCTTATTCCTGGGACTGTGTTGTGTGTGGCTCTTACACACGTTTCATTGAATCGTCACAACAATGGAAATGGGGTAACAAAACTCTCCGTGATGTCAGCAGCAGCCAGCCAAGGACTGGAGGGCAGCGAGTCAACCCCTCAAGCTGGGTGTCTACCTCAGGGAACCCATGATAATTAACACATTATACTAATGATAGTCATCTACCTAAGAAGCATGACCTCTTCCCTCTGGACCTAATTAGCCAGTAGAATCTAATTAGTCAATGGAAAGCAGAGAAAGTACTAAGGGAAAAACTTTGTCCACTCTATAGGCATCTTTACTTACTGAAAACGCATTGTGTGCAGCCCCTTTGAGGCAAGGGTGGGGAAAGGCTTGCCACTGGATTGTAAAAGGCCCTCAAAATCATCAAGACCAGTTAACATCAAACACATCTCACCAGAGAGAAGCGCTTATAGCCATCGCAATAAGGTGAGTGAATTAAAGGCTTGACCACAAATCCTGGACCCTTCCTCCCACTGAAGGTGAGGTCAATGTCCTGCTTTCTTGACTTTGGCAGGCTTAGGACCACACAGTAGAAGTGAGGGCCTGTACCACTTCCACAGCAGAAACACTTGCTCTTAAGAGTCCTGGGCGTCCATGAAGCAAGCCCAATGACCCCAAGCCCAAGCCATAGACACTCTAGCTGACACACTCTTCCAAGCTTCACTTGGAGAACCACCAACCAAGTACCTGAGTAAAGAGTTCGCCATTGTGTTCTGGACTTCTGCTGTTCAAGCCTTCCTGGTTGGAGGCCCAGAAACTAGAACAGAGATAGTCCAACCCCACTGTGCTCCCTCTGAATTCCTGATCCCCACCATCTGTCAGCATAATAAAATGCTTCTTGTATACCA